TCTTATTTGCTTCAGGCTGATGCTAATATCATCTTAGTAGAGAGATCACTCTTGACCTTCCTCATATGAAATTGTAACCTGCCTCTCTCAGTCACTCCTTGTCCTCCTTAGCCTGCTTCTTGTTCTCCTTTGCTTCATCACTATAGCACATATTCTTTATATATATATGTGTGTATATATATATATGTATATATATATATACATATATATATTTTATTTATTTATTTTTTAAATTGCATTTTAGGTTTTGGGGTACATGTGAAGAACATGCAAGATTGTTGCATAGGTACACACATGGCAGTGTGATTTGCTGCCTTCCTCCCCTTCACCTATATCTGGCATTTCTCCCCCTGCTGTCTCTCCCCAACTCCCCACCGCCCACTATCCCTCCCCCATGTCCCCCCAACTGACGCCAGTGTGTAGTGCTCCCCTCCCTTTGTCCATGTGCTCTCATCGTTCAACACCCGCCTATGAGTGAGAACATGCGGTGTTTGATCTTCTGCTCCTCTGTCAGTTTGCTGAGAATGACGGTTTCCAGTTTCATCCATGTCCCTACAAAGGTCACGAACTCATCGTTTTTGATGGCTGCATAATATTCTATGGTGTATATGTATAGCACATATTCTATATTTACTTATTTGTTTATTTTCTATCTCTCTACCTCCCACAAATCTACACTAGAGCATTTGCATGCATGTATGAGGCAAGAGACTCTATTTCATTCATTGCTCCATTCCCAGTGACTGGACATAGTAGACAGTCAATAATATTTGTTGAATAAATAAATAAAGTATTCTCTTTTGGCTAAATGGGTAGTACTGAAAGTGTCCCTGATACAATTCACCCCTAATTTCTTCCTCTCTGTGGGAAAACGTGGGCACACTTTAACTCATCTTTAATCTTTAAGGTTGGATGAAAGAAAGGGAATAGTGTCCATGTGGTTCAGGACCAACATAAGACCAATCTGGTAGTGATAAGATCCACAACTGTCCTCATGGACACTTTTGCCCATTCGCACCAAAAACTACCATACATGGACATTTGATTGGCTAAGTTCTAGAATATAATAGATACATGTGTCTTTATAAGCCTCCCTAATTTCCAAAAATTCTACAGCATCTCTACCAAGTATTCAATTATTATGAAGAATGAGAATAGACTATGACATTTAATAATTTAACAAAATTTAGAAACAATCTCAAACTTACAGCTAAGTTGGAAATGGAGTTAAAAAAAGAGAGAGACTTTTGTGTTCTCAGTAACTTGAGTGAATTCTTGTGAGGTCTGGCTGCAGGAAAATTTTAAAGAAAATAGTACATGTGGTAACAATATTTAAATGTGATGTTCGAAGTCACTACTTTTTGAGTTCCAGGTGGAGTTAAGGTCTAACTACTCTTGAAAATGTCAGATGAAGATTTTTCTCTCTTCTACCCTTTGACCTGCTTAGGGGAAACACCTTAAAAACGGTAAGGTGTGATACAATAATTTTTGTTGTGAGATGATGATTGTGGTATTTAGGCAGAATTAATAGATGCAAAGTCTCTTTTTGTAGCATATTTATTTGTGATTCTTAGGGCCAAGTCAGGGTTTTTTTGGCCACTGGCAATTTATTTTTTTGTCTGTCCAATGCTAATGACAGTTCTGAAAGATGCATTGAGCTAATTTTCCTTGAACTTCAGCCATTTCTTGTGATCCTAAGGGTTTATTAGGAAAGTATGAACATTTTTTCTGCCTTATTTGCTAACGAAACAGAGGGAGCTCTTTGTGAGATATCTTAGATCTTCGGTCACAAGTGACATTTTTACATGGAAAGTACTATAATGAACTAAACTACCACCCAAGGCATTCTGATGATGTCTGTATGTCAGTATTCTAATCCTCTCCACTTTTTGTGGATGAGGACATTACTAGGGGCCATAAGTAAAGCAGATCTACATTTGAATTGAGTTAGTGGTTTTGCTACATCTCTTAACTTCTCTGAACTTTACTGTTTCATTCTGATTTTACTTTCATAGCCACTTAATCCTAGGCAAGTTACTTAACTTTTCAGTGTCTGTTTCCTCATCTATAAAATGAAGATGCTAATGGTACTCACATAATAAGTTTTTTGTGAAGTTTAAGTAAAGCCCATATAGTCTTTAGCACAGAGCCAAATACATAGTCAGCATGTAATAAATGCTTGCTGTTCTTAGCTATCATTCGACTCTGGAATCTTGTACGGTTTTGTAGTTTTTCCTCACGGGCAGCATGTTTGCACAAGCTCAGGGATGGTTTGGAGACTATGCAGTGATTCACAGTTCTGCTACCTACAGTGGGCAGGAAAGGTAGGTGGCTTTTTATTGCTACCAACCTTGGTTACCAAGGGGATTTATTATCTTTTCCCACTAAGCAGAAGCAAAGTTGAGGAGGATTAAGTCTTCTCTCTATAGTTAGGAAACTCCGAGCTTTGGAGAGATTCTGTAAATTCTGGAGAGAGTAGGAGGAACTATAGAGTAGCAGCAGAATGTATATTTGTGCTAAGTTGTGTTGAGAACTTGCTAAAGTTGGAGACATGAATTGATAGTTGCACCATTAGTTGTAATTATGTGAGCTTTTTCAACAGCCTTGGAAACAGAGAGCAGAGAAAATCAACAGCTGGGGTAAAACAACGTTAGACTTTGATGAGCAAGATATCAGGTGTTAAATCTACTGGTTTAAGGAGACGGATCAAAGGGTATGACTGGGTAGAAAAGGTGGTGAGCCCAGAGAGATGCTGATTATTAGAAAACCAAAGATGAGGAGATCAAGGGACTAGAGGTTCCTATTAGGCTGAAGATCCAAGGTACTGGGTATAAAAGCTTGGAAGGGCTGGCAGAATACAAAGCATTGGTAAGATTTTATAATTTTAATATTTCAGTCTCAGGTGACTTCCAGGTAATAGATATTCCTGGTTATAGTCTTGAGAGTATATGGGAGAAAGAATAAGGGAAATGCTATTAGAGCGGAAAAGGCTAAACTGTGAGGCCAGAGTGTTCAGTGCATCATCCCTGATCATCCCTGATATTGGTGGAACTCAGCAGTTCTCCAGAGTTCTTTAGGTTTCTGCCTGAGAGACAATTCTCTTCTCTAGGGCCTGGGAGTGACCTTGCCCTTGGACAAGATCTTGCTTGCTGTTAAAAGGAGCAGCAGGAGGAAAAAAAAAGTGGAAGAAAAAGAGTCACAGGAAGAGTACAAGAAGGAGAGAGAGAGAGAGAGAGAGAGAGAAGGAAAGGGTAAAGGGAAGCAAAGAAGAAGGGAAGAGGAAGAAAGGAAAAGAACCAAAAGGAATTCTGGTCCAAGTGGCTCTTCAATGCCCTTGCAAGTGCAGGTCACCGTGCCTGTGTTATCTGAATGTCTTTTGACTCCAGTTGGGACCCTGCTGCCTAATGTTTATGTAACAGAGAAAAGGCTCAGAGTAGTTCTTTGACTTGCTTGTGACGACAAAACATGTTCTGTTACATGCAAAGGGGATTTAAGGTTGCAGATGGAACTAAGGTTGCTAATCAGCTGATTAAAGAGTATCCTGGATAACCAGGATGAGCCTAGCGTAATCGCAAAGGTCCTTGTAAGTGGAAAAGGGGGGAAGAAGAGAGAGTGATGTGACGTGAGAAATACTCAAAGGGCCATTGCTAGCTTTGATGGGGGAAGAGGGCCATGAGCTGAGGAATTCAGGTGGCCTCTAGAATTTGGAAAAGGCAAGACAACAGATTCTCCCCTAGAGTCTTCAGAAATGAATGCAGCTGTGCTAACTCGTTGATTTTAGCCCAGTGAGACCAGTTTCAGATATCTGATTTCAAGAGCTGTAACATAAAAAATTTGAGTTGTTTCAAGCCACTGAATTTATGGTAACTTGTAACAGCAATAATAGAAAACTAGCATATACCTCTAAAAGTCTTGGTGCCCATGTGTTCCAGATCTGAGAGGACCACCTTGCATGCGGGCCACTGAGTTTGCCTTGGAGGCTGTGTCCCTATTCAAGATTGGGTGAGTTGGTATCCCAGACCTCTCCATGAACACATGTGGTTGGCTGGCAGCCAGGGAAAATTCAATATTGGGGCTGAATTCTTCCTGGATGGAGTAAGGAGGTCTGTTTCAGCTCAGAGGTGAAAAATCTTGGCTGGATTAGCCCAGTAAATTCTCAAGATGCCTGGCAAGCGCCCTAGTTTTAGATTTCTCTCACAAATGTAAGAGCTTGAGCCTCTGAATGGATGGACGCCCCCTCCAGTGTAGCCAGTTCAGGGAAACTGGGGAGATACCTTAACACCTTCCCGGGCTGACTTCCTTCCTCCACTCTCCTGGTTTCCTTTTGAGTGAATGGAGGTGGGCCAGGAAAGATGGGGTTCTAAAAGCCGAAAAGCTGCCTAGAGACTTGCAGACTCAGAGAGACCCACGGGCATTTGCTGCAGTCGCCTCATTGCAGAGATGAGGGGGCTTGGCTGAGGCCGCAGTGGCAGATTAGCGCAGCCCATTTCCCTTTGTGTGACTTGGCAAAGACAAAAATTGCCTATGAGTTTTTTTCCAGTGGAAGAGAATCCCAGAGCGGTCCGAGTGGGTGAGGAGACTTGATAGAGCGATGTTGGGAAAAGTTCAGGAACTTGGAGAACAGCAGGGGTGGGGGCAGCGCTCAGCGCCGAAGGACGGAGGGAGTGGGGCCGCCTCTGCCCCAACTTTGTTCTCTTCGTGTTGCGCCCGTATTTCAGCACTCTGGGGGGCTGTCCTGGGGGCCTCTCACTCGCAGCTTCCTCGAATGCGGACCAGGGCGGCTCTCCCAAGGCTCCCCTATTTGGCCGGCTCGGTCAGCTCGGCTGGCTGGGCCCCCGCTCGGGGCGGGGCCGGAGGAGCGCGGGGGTGGGAGTCCCGGAGGACGGTGCACCGAGCGGGTTGCGAGGCCCCGGGGCATGCGGGAGGCGGAGGGGTGGGGACCGGGGTGGGAACCGGGGTGGGAACCGGGGTGGGCTGCGCCCTCCCGCTCTGGCCCATCCACACCCCGCGGACAGCGGACACTGTTAGCTGAATCACTCCCCCTTTCAGGAGGAGGGAGGGGTAAAAGGTGTCTAGCCCCTTTCTGCTGAAAAAAGCACAGGGAGATCGCGGGCAGCTTTGCAGTCACTGCCTTCTCGCGCCTGGACCATGCACCCCTGCATCTTCCTGCTGGGCCTCAGGCGAGCACTTCACTTCTGGAGCTGAGGGTTGAAACTTTTTTGACTTTTCTTCTCCCCAACAACTGAATCATGCCATGTGCCCAGCGGAGCTGGCTTGCAAACCTTTCCATGGTGGCTCAGCTCCTCAACTTTGGGGCGCTTTGCCATGGGAGACAGCCTCAGCCAGGCCCGTTTAGCTTCCCGGACAGGAGACAAGGTTAGTGACTTTTCTTAATTTCCTTTTAAAACGGTGGTGGTAAGACATGCAGGAACTTTGCTGCTCCCGTTTCCCTTCCCCCACCCGGCAGAATTGAACTCTGCAAAGCCATTTGGCTGCGTTATAAAAAAAATCTGGGCTGGGAGCTCAGGAACCTAGGCTTTCTCAGAATTCAGGGCTTCAGGTGATGAGTCCTTCATTCTTACAGAAAGGTGAATACCTTGCTTTCTCTTTTACAGGGATGACACTGCGGTCTTTGAAAGACCCAAGAGGTAGCTGGTCACTTTTTCTCTTTTGTCTCCTCTTTGAATGCTGTACTGTTTCGATTCCCTTTCTTTCAGACCCTGAACATGGAAAATCATTATTTTTTTTAAAGTGCCAACTGGCTGCTGGCAGTCACAGCACTGTTTCTAGTTCGTTTTAAACTTCTGGTCAGGAAAGGGGAAATGTGATTCTGTCCCCCTACTGAGCAGCTTTGGCTGTGTTTTGGTTTCCTGGAAAGATTTAGGGTTGTGTTTTTAAAAGAACAGTCCTTTTGGGGGAAATATACCTCGGGAAGGGTTCACTTTTTTCCTGTCCTGTCGCGCTGACCACAGCTGGCTGCTTCTATTTCTGATTTCTGAACTCGTGTTATTGTAAAAAGCATTGGAAGCGTTCTGGTGGACAATTTGTTGTTGTTTTTATTCTTTTAAGCCTAACACTCAGCCGTTTCTTGGACCTGGAAGGGTCAGAGACACCTTCGTGTTTGGTGAGGGGTTCATTGTATCTCTGGGGGTAAACAGTCCTAGCAGCAGCAATGGCCCGCATGGCAATCTGTGTCAGCCCATCTGACCACTGGCAGTAGCCTTCCAGGGTGCAGGTCCCAGTGTTGCTGTCCCTGCTATACAGATGAGGAAGCTGCAGCTGGGAGAGCTTATGAACCCAGCTAATGTGGATCAGGGTTTTGAGCCCAGGTAGCCTGACTCTTAGAATCATGGAGCACTGTCCTACAGCAATAATAGGGATATATGTGCATGCATGCACACATCCACATGTACACACACACACACACACACACACACACACACACACACACACATATGCACATGCACACAGAGCACTGGGTTGGCATTCACACAGTCCTGTGTTTGCTGACTGTGCTGAAGTCTCTGGAACTGTCCTCCGTGGCTTTCTGACATCCCTTTAATTCCCAAGGACACTTGAATGATAAACATCACCAGCCTATCCTTGTTTAGGATTTCTAATGAGGGTTTTCTGCCCATGTTGTAAAATTCAAACATTGCTGGAGAATTAATCTGCTGTGGCCTCAAGAAGTATCAGAAGCAAGTCCTTCTCTTTGCTTTACTTGGAAAGCTGGAGCCGGCAAGCACTGGGGTTAGATGTCAATCAGCCAGCACTCACTTGTGTAAACGGTCCAGATACAATCTCCCACTCCCAAGTTTAAAATAGCAGGGCTTGTTGTTCTTTGAAAAACAGTTCCTTTGTGAAAAGTCTCTCTTCTGGGGCAGCACAAACAAAGCCTGCAAACACTTCCCAGGGCATTGGGAGATGATTTGGTTCAAAGACACACATTCTCCTGGGTTGGTTTTCAGCTCTGTTTGTGCTACATCTTCTTTGTAAGGGAATTCAGCTTGGTGTGAAGCAGACACCACGGGGCCATGGTTTTTGCTCTCTGGAAAGTGAGATATGATTATTTTCCCTAGTCATCTCTATGTAGAGCTATGCGCTGAGAGTATCCAATGCTCAAAAAAAAACCTATAAAGTGCTCCAAGCTTATTGGTGGTATATATTTATTTAGGTTTAAAAATAATTTTTTTTTTTTTTTGAGATGAAGTTATTCTTTGTCTCCCAGGCTGGAGTGCAATGGCTCCATCTTGGCTCACTGCAACCTCTACTTCTGGGGTTCAAGTGATTCTCCTGCCTCAGCCTCCTGAGTAGCTGGGATTACAGAGATGAGCCACCATGCCCAGCTAATTTTTGTATTTTTAGTAGAGATGGGGTTTCACCATGTTGCTCATCCCAGCACTTTTGGAGGCTGAGGCAGGCTGTGTCGAACTCCTGACCTCAGGTGATCTGCCTGCCTCAGCCTCCAAAAGTGCTGGGATTACAGGTGTGAACCACCACACCAGTAATTTCAGTTTTTAAAAGCATTTCACCAACCATAATCGATTCCCTAGTGGATTTACAAATAATTCACATTTGGTGCAACAGAGAAATTTCTAAGCAGACTTACATTTAGAATTAAGGGGAGTGGGAAAGAGGGAGGAAGGGATAGATGAGGGCAAACTAGTAGAGAAGGAAATTCTAAGGCTATTTGGGATTAGGATAGTCTGGGTTTTCCCTCCAAATGACCTACCTACAGCCTCACAAATAACCAATCTCCTTAGACTTCCATGTCCACTTTGATAACATTTTTGAATGCACTCAAATCCTGAACGTTTAAACTTGCAAATTATTTCAAAGATCATCTCATTCTTAGTTTTGAAAATTTTTATTTGTTTTTTTTATAGCGATGAGGTCTAGCTATGTTGCCCAGACTGATCTTGAACTCCTGGCCTTGAGTGATCCTCCCACTTCGACCTCCCAAAATGCTAGGATTACAAGAATGAGCCACCATGCCTGGCCACCATTTTTTTTTTTTTAATTTTTCCCATTTATTTTATTGCATTTTAGGTTTTCGGGTACATGTGAAGAACATGCAAAATTGTTGCATAGGAACACACGTGGCAGTGTGATTTGCTGCCTTCCTCTCCATCACCTACATCTGGCATTTCTCCCCTTGCTATCTCTCC